TTGAATGTTGTGGGGACCCTCTCCCTGGCTCCTCCGCGCTCAGTGACCTCGCCGGTCCCTGCCGCCGTGCTGCCGGGCGCTCCTTCGTTCCCCGTGACCTTCCCGTTTTCCGTCGCCGTCCTGTCGCGGAACGTCCGAGCTCTCCGGGAGGAATGGGGCAAGCGCCCCCTCACCCAGCGCTGACGTCGGAGGGTCGGTCGCAGCAAGGTTCCCGATTGGACGGTCGGCGGGACAAGGACTTGGGAAGGTCTTAAAAGGGGAACGGAGACAAAGGAAGGGGTCTTGGGCTGCCGACTTCGAAAGGGACCGGTCAGGGAGGTCATTGGGACGACAGCGACGAGCGGCTCGCAGACGACGTGAGTTTGAGTAAACTCTTTTGAACACGCACTGTGTGGGTGACTTCTTGGGGAGCGAGCGAGGCACGTCCCGATCGGGCGTCGATCAGGTAGCGACCCACAATGTGCAAACTAAGAAGTTGTGTTAGCCTCCCCTGACTCATGCGGCTGCGTAGATACGTTTTAATTCGGCGTAAGGCACTAAACGAGCGCTCTCCCGAAACGACAGATGCAGGCACAGAATGAAGAAGTTTCGTATATTTTACGACTTGGTTCAGGAGGTCACGAATTTCATCGGATTTTGCTTGTAGTGTCCTCAATATGGCGTAATTTGTGAGGGAATCAAGATTTCATAAAAGAGCCGGCCAAAGTAAAAGCTACGCAGACAGTCGGGCCAGTTTAAAATCGCATGCATGCGCTCCAAGGGCCTCTTTGAAGTCATCTGTTTTGAACTGTCTTCCCCCGGCGGCGTTAATCAAGGTGCTCTCTAGTTTTACTAGCTGCTTCATACCAGGCTGTTCACACTGCCGTTGAGTTTCACTTATAATGCAGTCTACAGCCGCAAAGTACTCCTTCCGTAACGCTGCCTTGCAATCAATTACAAATGGCGGAGAAGGTGTGTTGCTTGTTTCAAACCTTTTTGGCGGTTTTGGCGGCTTTGCGCTGCGAGGGTCCTTCAAACCTATAGCCACATTGCAGTTGAGATCGCGCAGTCCCGCAACTCTTCAAACGCGACTTCAGACCGCAGACGGGACATTGCCTCGCAGAAAGTTTCTGCAGCCTCTTTCATACCTGCGGCGCGAAACGTCGAACGTTGCAGTGTACCCTTGCAAGTTCTTCGCATGGGTCGAACAGAGGTATATAAATGTCTATTCCTAGCAGCGTTTCAAACGTTTTCAAACGCCCCTTATTACCCTTCAAAATGGCCCTGTTCTTGTCTGCAATCGAATATTATCTATGTAGCAGCTCGTTCAGTGTCTCCCGAACTCTAGCATAGTTCTCAGCGAACCTTTTACTTGACAGTCCACCTTGTTGGGAAAAGCGGAAGAAGGTTATTTGGCGTTGATCCGGCCTCTTCCGCCGCCTCGTGGACTGGAGTAATTACAATAGATGAATAAACAGGCTTTCGTTTTCTTGAAGTCGGAGTGGGGGGGGGGGGGGTGGAAGGGGGGGGGGGGGCTCAGCCCCATCCTTGAAAATCTTGGGGGGGGGGGCTCTGCCCCCCCCCTTTTTTTTGGTTTTAGAGTCTTTGTGCGCATGCCAGTCATACGTCAGCGACTCCGAGTACTACGATAAATTTGACGGCGCCATCTTGCTTGACTTCCCAAAATTTCGAAGCTGGACCTACCACTTTCACGTCCACGCTTCGGACCACCATGACTGCAGTGGCGACATGCAAGCAGGGAGACAGGTACGCCCCCTACCAGGTTGGAACCGTGCACCTAACCTGGAGCATCGGCACCCCTTGGTAGCTTCGACCATGCCGTATCCGCGGCGGTCGATCGACTACTGACGACGACGGATACACCCTTGTACAAAAGAAAAGGAGAGTGACGCCCGCCACGGGCACGAACTTTCTCGCCCTCCCAGGAGTAGGGCGCTCTTTGTGTCTCGGCTTGACCCTACAACCACTGTTGACGACATCGTAGCAGCACTCAGCAACGTCGTCAAAACATGTGTCTGTACCCAACTTCCGTCTGGACACATGAGCTATGCATCGTTCCACATCGCTGTAGAGTGGGACTATTTTGGCAGGGTCAATGACGCGAATGTGTGGCCCATTGGCTGTCTCTTTAGGCAGTTTTTATGGGTTGTTGAGGAGAAAAGAAGAAGACGCATGAAGAGTGTACCGTTTATTATCAGAATGTACGTGGTTTGAGGACTAAAGACGCCGAGTTCTTTTCGGAGGCCATGTCAAGCACGTATTCACGCATATGCCTAACAGAAACTTGGCTTGCAAATGCAATTTCTAGCTCTAAATATTTTCCGCCCAAATATGAAGTCTATGGACGTGATCGTGACTATGAGGAAACTGGAAAGAGCTTGGGGGGACGTGTATTGATCGCTGCAGATAGGAGCTTGAAAATTATCGGAGGCGATCTCGAGTGTTATCCTGAGAGCTTGTGAATCGAAGTAGTGTCTACCGATGGTAGAAATGTTCTTATTGGCAATTGCTGTTTTCCGTCGATGTTTGATCACATTTTTTTTTCTGTAAGCATATCAAGTTCCTGGAAGAAAAAAAAAAGACCTATAAATTTTGCGTGCACACGTACGGCGATTACAACCTTCCATGGTTACGATTGGGAGTCTTGCAGCTTCTTAGTTAGTCATGCGAACACAAGGTTGAAGCTACTTTGTCTGTTAGACTTCGGTCATTTCAATGGTTTCGGAAAACGTAATACTGTACGCAACTGCCGTGGAAACATATTTGACCTTGCCCTGGTCACCTCGGTTGTTGATATCAGTCCTGCCAAAGCTCCGCTATCTCGGGTGGATAACTATCAGCAACCTTTTATCGTGCGATTTTTCTTCCCACTTGCCAAGCGGATTTTCCATTCACAATCATGGTTTTCCTACTCCAACGGTGATAAATATTTCTTGTATCAGTATCTTCAAGACTATGACTGGAGTAGTGTTCTAGCTTATCAGTGTATTGAATCATCATCTTCCACACTTTCGACTATTGTTCAGAAAAGCATGCAACTCTTCATACCGAAGAGGCTGTTCAGTAAAAGTGACTAACCCTCATGATTCTCGAAGGAACTAAGACATTGCTTACGGCGCAAGCTACACTATCATCGCCTCTGCAAGAAAGCTGGCAATGTCGATTGGTACACAAGACAGTCAATACAGGCGAAACAATTGTTTAAGCAAGATAAACAACAGCATGCTGACATCGCCGGAAAATCATGGAGCACACAGCCCCAGTGTATGTGGAAGTTTGTCAAAGAGAGCATCGAAGAGAATATTACCATGATCACATTGCGAGATAATGAGGATTGCGTCTCTGACCCTGTTGATGTAGCTAATATTTCTGCGCGCCATTTTAGTGATTCTTTTAGTACAAATAATGGCCTAATGCCTAGCTCGAATATAAACTGCATGGCTTTTTTGACTGTTGCTTCAAATAATAAATCAGAAGTCTTGAAGGCAATTAAAAAATTGAAACCAAAGTTATCTACGGAAGTGAATGGAATTCCCAGCTTCATAGTAAAAGGTTGTGCTGCACTTCTTTGTCCAGTTTTGGTGCATATCTTTAACTTATCACTTACATCTGAAACATTTCCTGTCGCTTGGAAGCGCTCTATTGCGGTTTCATCACATAAATCGGGTGATCGATCCATGGTTAACAACTATAGGCCAGTCTCCCTACTTTGCAGTTTGTCTAAAGTTTATGAAATTGTTTGGCACAGGCGCCTTTATGCATATTTTGGTTGGAAGATTATTCCCGAGAAAGATGGTTTCATGAAAGGCCGCTCGACAGAAACAAACCTGTGTTCCTTCCTGCATCAGATTGTAGCATCTGTCCATAGCGGAGGACTAGCTGATGTAGTGTATTTTGATATGAGCAAAGCTTTTGACAAAGTTAATCACTGTTGAGTAAACTCCTATCTCATCGGCTGAACTTTCTGCGAGTATCCGGCCGATTATCTGCTCCTTGTTTTTATCTAGGTTCCTCAAGGCAGTAACCTCGGTCCATTGCTGTTTTTATTTTTTTTGTAAATGATCTAGCTTTTGGATGAAGAAAGAATAAAACAATTAAAACAGGGACAACACAACCACATCTGTCAAAATTGAAATAATTGTTCTATTCTTTCTTCATCCATGACTTAAACCAACACGCTCTTCACCCAAGCTGATCTAGCTTCAGGCATTAAACACACACCGTTGTTGTTATTTGCTGATGATATTAAGTTGTTTACGGCGGCTAAACGGTTGACGATTGTGAAAGTCTTTAGCGTGATATAGATTCTATTTCGGCGTTGTGCTTTTCAAATGACCTACTCTTAAATGAGTCAAAGACGAAAGTCATGTCCTTTTCTAGGAAGCGTAAAATTCTGAGTTTTCTCTAAGTATTAGATTCCACCGATATTACTCGCGTTGAGGTCATCCGTGATCTGGGCGTTTTTATTGATCCTGCAATTAATTTCAATCATCACGTGACTACAATTGCGAATGCTTCCTTTAGAGAGCTGGGAGCCATTACACGAGTGACACGTGGTTTTTCTAACCCACTTTGTATTTTACGTTTGTTTTCTTCACTGAAGCGTAGTCGGGACGGGGGCCGAGCGAAGCAGAATTGCTCCACATGGGCTCCTGCCCTTTTTAGGCAGTTAACGCGAAAGTACCAAAATATCCTTATAATCTTCAGTGTCATTCAATTCACCAAGAAAAGCGGCACCGAGGGGTACCACAGCTGTACAAGTGAGTGAATTTTTCGGCCAAATTTCCACCTTGGAAAGATCTACCTCGTATGTGGAGAGCTAAGCCTCACCAGGAATACAAGCGGTCGCCATCTTGGCTATACTCGAACACGGGGCACCCGCCGAGAGAAAGAAATAAGCGAGACCCAACGCCGAAACCCGCTTTGCGCGCGGGCCTTCGGGCCCCGCAAGCATGATACATACGCAAGTAACAAAGCAGGGAATGAACAACGAGATAGACATGGAGAACAGCGCGAGTACCAGAACGAGCGGCACGCACATGGAGTTCGATGAAAACAGCGGCAGGACGCTGAGCCAGCCTGGCCCGTGGTACGAAGTTCTCAAAGAAAGAAAAAGCCAGAAAACAGCGGATGAGAACCGCATAAAAGGAAACAGCAAGGCGAACAGCGCCCAGAATCTAAAAGAAGAGACGAGTGGGCTGACCAACCCAAAGATGCAACCGACCACCAACCAACTGCAGCAACAGCGACGCGGGGACCGAAGAACCCGCGGAGGCAACAACACGCCACCAAGGAAACGCATGTTGCCACCATTACCAGAGGATGAATACAAGGTAGTATACAGACCAAGAACGGGCCTCAAGCTTTCTTCGTGGTCTGATAAAAGCCTCACGCAAGGCATCGCCACAGCAGGCGGTTTTCCATTCAAAGACTTCTACTCGAATGTGACGATCCAGACGCAATGGGCTCAGAACTTGATCATCGCAAGTACTGCGGATGAGGACTACGCCATGAAGCTGAGCATGATCACCCAGATACAGCTAGGCGCGGCCTTGTACGAACTCATGCCTTACCTAAAACCGCTCCCGGGCACCGTACGAGGAGTGGTGCACGGAATAGAAGCAGGAACAACAGAAGAGGAACTTAAAGAACTTATCTCAGTCAACGGCTACAGCATTCCGCACGCAAGAATGCTCGGAAAATCCAGCTCGGCGCTACTCACGTTTGAGGGACCGCACGTGCCATTCTACGTGAAAGCGGGTAGCGTGTTCACCCGATGCCGGCCCCACCGCAGATCCGTGCAGTACTGCAGAGCCTGCGGGAATGTCGGCCACAGACAGGACGTCTGCCCCAACCCGGACACAAACAGGTGCAACCGATGCGGAGCGGAAAATCCTCAAGACAATCACGAGTGTCAGCCTAAGTGCAAGCTGTGCTACCAACCCCACGAAACGGCAAGCAAGGAATGCCAGAAACGACTCAAACCAAGTCCCCCACCGTTACACGTGAGGGAAAGAAGCAAATCGCAAACTAAACAAGCCGCTTGGACGGGAGTTGCAAACGACCGCCCTTTCGAGCAGCAGCAACGGACGTCATTGCCGCAGGACAGAGTGGTGAGCTGGCCCCAGCTGGGGTCCCATTCTCCCAATGCTCCAGACCCCTTTCCCCCACTGCCGGTCACGCAGCAGGATTCAAGTAACGCACATTTCGAGCAGACCATAGACACACTTAAGAAACAGAACGCGGAGCTAATCTGGCGCTTAGAAAACAACGAAAAAAAAAGCGAAGGCTAGGGAACAGGCCCTAGAGCAGAAACTGCAACAGTTTATAGAGCAGATGCAGAAACAGCAGCAACAACTGCCGCAAATACCGCCGCGAGCTCCGACACCTCTGCCGGAGGACCTCGAACAAAAAATGGAATATCACATAAACAAATTAGATGAGAGGATCGATCAGAAGATTGATCAGACAATGAGCCAGATGACAAAAGCGGTTGAACATAAAATGAACAAAATGATGGAAACCGTGAATAAGGTCTTTGAAAACGTTAATCCAACCATCATCCAAATGAGTACGACCCTCAACGCCAAGATTGATCGAATGGGGGAGACCCTCAATGCCCAGATGGGCAAGATGGGTGATGAGCTCAACCAACGTATTTCCGACCTTGAGAAGGAAAGGGAACAAGCCCGAAAAAAGCCGAAAACGTCGCCAGGAGGAGATGCGCTGACAGAAGAAACGATCAGAACCCACAATGGAGAGTAAAGAGACGGGAAAGAAAGACGCGGCCCAAATCCTCAAAATCTGGCAGTGGAATTGCCGATCGATTAACCGGAAAAGACAAAATCTACTACAATTTATCAGCCTTCATCAACCGGATATCATCGCGCTACAAGAAACAGAAACAGACACCATAAAGATACGGGGCTACGAGACACACATAGCCGAAGGAAGAAACCGGACAGCCATCCTCACCAAGAAACACCACACAACACAACAACACCAAATCAGCCACAGAATTGAGCACACTTTGATAGAGATGATACCACAAAAGAAGACATTACAGAGTCTATTTATCCTGAATGTTTACAGCCCGCCCTCGGACAACCTAAGGGACTTGGACAAGTTCCTGAGGGAGGTAAAGAAAGTTACCAAAGGGCAGAAGATACTCGTAGTTGGGGACTTCAACGCACCGCATGTAGCCTGGGGATACCACAAAACCAACAAGAAGGGCACGGATGTGCACAACGCGGCTCAGCACCACCAACTGACGCTGTGGAACGACCCTCAGTGTCCAACCAGGATTGGAAACAGCATCTCCAGGGACACAAGCCCCGACTTAACTTTCTCGAAGGGCATACGGCAAATCGAATGGACGAGGCTGGAAGAAACCCTAGGAATTCGATCACTATATAATTCAAACCGAACTCCGACACAACAAGACTCCATTGAGAACGGGACAAGCGAAGATCACGGACTGGACCGCGTTCCGAAAGGTGGAACACCCAGCGGACATGGACGATATTGAAGAATGGACCAGGCAAGTGATGGAAGAGGTAACCAAGCACACCAAGACGATACAACTCACTTCGGACAACCCTGAAGTTGACCCGCACTTACTCCACCTCTGGGAGGCCCGACAGGGCCTCCTAAAAAGATGGAAGAAACAAAAGAGAAACCGCAAGCTCAAGGTCCGCATTGCCCTGTTGACCAGGGAAGCTGAGGAGTACGCAGAGAAACTCGGAATACAAAACTGGAATCAGCAATGCGACCGGCTACAGGGTACCCTGAGCAAACGCAAAACATGGGCAATACTTAGGTCGCTGCTGGCAAAGACGGAGTCAAAGAAGGTCACGTGCCAACATATTCAACGCCTCATCCACAACTATCAGGGTTCAGAGGAAGACGTGCTCGAAGCCATCACTGAAAAATACATTGGCAACCAACAACAACAGAAGACGACGATCACTCACCTGGACTACGAGGGAATATCCAACCCAGAGTTGGATCAACCCTTCAGCAGGGCAGAGATAGTGGCGGCGCTCAGGAACTTGACGAGAAACACGACCCCAGGAAGGGACAGAGTTAACAACAAGACGCTCCGTAACCTAGACGACAGAGCCACGGAGTGTCTCCTTAAGCACATCAATGAGAGCTGGGAGACCGGGAAGATACCGGCATGCTGGAAACACGCGGATGTGACAATGATCCCAAAACCGGGCAAACCGATCACTGTGCAGAACCTGAGACCAATATCCCTCACATCGTGTGTGGGGAAGCTATTCGAGCACATGGTACACAACAGACTATCCCCGTATCTCGAGGAGAACGAATTCCTCCCTAACACGATGTTTGGATTCAGACCTCTTCTATCGACCCAAGACATCCTTCTTCAACTCAAAGAGGATGTAATAGACAACCTCAGCACGCAGCACAAGAGCGCAATTCTAGCATTGGACATCAAAGGGGCGTTTGACAACATCTCCCACAGTGCGGTGCTAGACAGCTTACAAAGGACAAACTGCGGCCAAAAGACTTACAATTTCGTCCGTGACTTTCTCACAGACCGGACAGCGACCATAGGCCTGGGAAACCTAAGGACCGAACAGATCAAGGCTCCACAAAAGGGAACCCCTCAGGGATCGGTGATCTCACCGTTGCTTTTCAATATTGCAATGAGGGGTCTACCGCTCCTTCTAAAAGACATTAAAGGTCTCAGCCATGCAATCTACGCGGACGACCTTACCATATGGACGACGTCGGGGTCGGCAGGAATGCAGCAAGACGCTCTGCAAGAAGCGGTGAACAGGACCGAGAGATATTTGAAAAATTGTGGTCTCTCGTGCGCTCCGGATAAATCGCAACTTTTGGTGCTAAAAAAGAGGGCGAGAGGTCGTCCTCCACCGGAAACACCAGACCCCGTACTAACTCTACATGAAGATAACATCCCACAAGTCGACGTGCTCCGTGTCCTGGGAGTAGTATTTCAGAAGGATGGTGCAGGGATCGCCACAGTGCAAAAACTCCAAGAAACAGTCACACAAGTTACTCACCTAGTAAAACGGGTAACGAACAGAAACCACGGCCTCAAGGAGCAAGACACTTTGAGAATCATTCAAGCACTCGTCATCAGCAGAATAACGTACGGGACCCCGTATCTGGGGCTCAAAAACAGCGAGCGCGAGAAGATTAACACACTCATTCGCAAGACATACAAACTGGCCTTGGGGCTCTCCCCAACAACCTCCACAGAGAAACTACTCCGATTGGGTATACATAACACATGGGAAGAGCTGGCAGAAGCACACAAGGCGAGCCAGTTTGAAAGACTTAAAGGGAAGATGGGGCACTTCTACCTTTGAGAAAAAACGCTTGAATTGCGTTCATTTGGCCTTCAGAATAACAGATATCAAAATTATATTTCAATGCGACGCGCCGGAGAGCCAGAAGAGCAATTTCAAAATAGGGCTGAAGCCCCGCCCCTCTAGCCTTGGGCAGCCAAAAGAGCCGTCGATGACGTCACGGACAGCGACTGTCTTTCGCGTTTTTCTCGCGTTTAACAATACTTACGCAGCAAATGGTTTGGGTATTCGGGTTCACGGGGTAAAAATACACTAGAATTCACTTCTAACTCATTTTTTCCAAGAAGCTCCGTAGCTTCCCTTTAAGCTCACCAGGACGGGCAGGGACTGGGCTACGCAATCGAAGACGAGTCAAGAAGTAAGCAAAGGATTCCATTACAACTAAGAGACAATATCACAGTTGCATCCATTCCTCGCAACATGCATCCAGAACACAACAAAGAACGACGAATGGCAAGAGTGAGAGCACTGAGAAAGACCTACGAGAGAGACGATGACCGCGTGCGGTACACAGACGCAGCGAAATACAAGGGAAAGAAAGCACACGCGATTAGCGTGGTAAACAACAAGGGAGAAGAAATCGCGGCGGCCTCCGTGAGGACCCCAGACACGGACTCAGCAGAGGAGACAGCAATCGCTCTTGCGGCGACGACAGGCAAGGAACTCCTCACGGTAATAACAGACTCACAAGCCGCCTGCAGAAATTACCAACTAGGCCGAATATCACGATTGGCCCTCGAAACGTTAAAAAAAAATCAAAGATCCCCCCGAAATAGTCATAGTCTGGACCCCAGGACATGAAACCCTAGCGGGTAATCTAGCGGCGCATGCCGCTGCCCGAGAACACTCTCTCCGGGCTACCTCGCTGGGCGACCGTGCTCCAGCGGATACAGACGAGGGCGTTCCAAAAAGATACACCGACATTCTAGCGCATTACAGACTAGGGAGGAGAACCTACCCTCCCCCACACCCTACAATATCCAGAGAGGACGCCGTGACACTTAGACAGCTACAAACTAACACTTTCCCGCACGGCACATTATTTCACGCAATGTACCCAACTCAATATGACTACGACTGTAAAAATTGTCGAGTGCCTAACACTCTCTACCATATGGTATGGGAGTGCAAGCACAACACCTCCATACCCCCCATTTCCCGACCAACCGCGGAGCAGTGGGAGGACCAGCTGACCAGCTCAAAACCTGAGGACCAGTCCCGACTGGTGAACAGGGCCAGACTGGCAGCGCGGGACCATGGCATCCTGGACTGAGGCAGCCACCCACCTGGGGACGACCCACAAGCTTTCGTCTGCTCAAGTTATAATAAAGTTTATTCCTCCTCCTGGTGCGTAGTCGCGTTGAATATGCCTCAGTTGTCTGGAACTCTATTGGAGTCATAAATTCAGGTGTAATTGAGAGTGTTCAACGTAGATTCCTTTGTGTTAATTGTTTCTTTGTCGTTATTTTCAACCGAATTATTTCTATAGTTACGAGAGGATTTGTGAAGTCGTGAAGTTAGACTCGTTGCACAACAGGAGGCACAATTCGCAAAGTGGCATATTTGTATAAGATTGTAAATGGTATAATTGATTCACCGGAGCTACTCAGTCACACCTACTTGCACGTTCCTCGTAAGTCTTGTAGACTTTATACTTTGTTTTACCCTACCGATTTTTACGATGCTGCACCCATGAGTCATGACACGCCTACCTTTAGAACACATTTGTGGGAATGTGAGTCTCGATATTTTTGATGAAGAGCGTAAATTTCGAAGGTGTGTTGACACTGTTGAGACTATTGTTTTGTCCTAACATTTCGGTTTTATCCTGTTTAAAATTTCATAACTAATTGACTTATTGGTAAGTGCACCACCAAGGAAACGTTAAGCTGTTAGTAAATAAATAAAAAAAGTTTTAGGCGTGAGCGCGTACGCTTCATATACGGTTTCGTTTGCGCTATAACGCGTGCAAATTATCAACGAGATCAAGCCCCACTGCCAGGTGGTAGCACCAGCAGCTTGACAGCGTTTTGCACTAAGTATAGTATAGATCAGTAGGGAGGATGGCGTTCTTAATCAGAAGACCCTCGATATACAATGATGGGCCGGACCAGCGAATTGCTGGAGCCCGGTCAAGAGTCTAGCGGGCGAGCTAATTACACAGCCGAAATCTTCGGAATTGAGTGCAGTTGCCCTTTACATGGATACTGCAACGAAATTTGAAATATATCCGTCGTGCTCAGAAATAGGTTGAATATGATCTATAACATCCGTAAATGACAATCTCACGTTTCTACTTTGAGCCTGATGGCTGTATTTTTCGTTATAAACACTCTGAGAGCAGCCAGTGAAGAGCACGTCACACCCGCAGCAATCGTGACGTAGTTTGTCTAGCTCTTTGCTAATCGTTTATTTCGTTTTAAAATTCCTTTTCGTGTGTTTTTCAACAAGAGATTGGTGTCTGATATGATAATGTTCCCTCGAACACGAATTCACGGAGTGATATCTCAAATGCGCGTGGCTCGATGCCCATACAGCCCGGACCACGTTGAACTCAGCGAGCGCGCGCTCGAGAGCTGATGACCAGACACATCACTCCCGAACAATACGAAGAAAACAAACACAGTGCGCTGTTTTTGAGACGATTATTGCAGTATAATCAGTGGCGTACCAACTTGTTTTTGAGTGAGGGGGCAAACCAGGCCTCTCGCCCCCCCCCCGGTTGGTACGCCCATCAGTATAATCTTCCCTCTCCGCCAAAAATCTACATTTCCGACTACGCCTTTTTTCTTTTATCATCTATACAAGAATACACATTTTGTAATTGCAGCGTCTGCAACCTCAACGAAATGTCGCGTTTTCATAGGTCACACGTCTTTCTGGCTGCCGGAACAATGCCCCTCCTTTCTCCGGAGATGACCTCGGCATGCTCGATCTTTGATTGCTTTTTTTTTAATAGTGAAGTCGGCCGCGCATCGCTAAGATTTATGGATTTCTAAGATGCTCACTCAACGTCTCAAATGGTATACGTAGCTTCGGTGTCTAAACTTTGCGTTCTAGCCCTCTTCTGGAACAGAGCTTGTTCCAAAACTTGCACGAGCGTCAAAAACAAGAAGAGGGTTGTTCACCTTCATATTGCTTACGGGTGTACAATATATGTTTTTCATGTTGTGAGCGGGGAATACCCACGCAGTTCGGCTATATGACTGAGTGTATAATGCCGTAAAAGAACATTAACCTAAAATGAAACGAAAATTCCAGTTGCATTTGTTTCCGGAAAATAGTACAATGCTTCCTTAAAAAAAACATCAAAAAATCTATTTGTCATAAAACACGAAAAAAAAACAAAAAAAAAAAAAAAACTAGGAAATTTAGCCGCCACCAGCTTCCCGGAATTGCGTCTACGCAGGCTGCCACAACCCAGTGACTAGAAATCCCACAGCCCAGCGCAGTCGAGCAACACTGACGTAGACTATCAAAACCAGGGACGCATGTTGTAAATCGTTTCGTTCGAGACTGGCGCTGGAAAGGTCTATAT